CTTCCCCGGCCCGGCCCCGCCCCGCGCCCCCGCCCGGGCGACGGTGCCCCCCGCCCCCGCCCTGCGCCGCGCAGCCCCGCTCCTGGCGGGGGCGGCGGAGCGGGGCTGCCGAGCCCGCCCGGCCTTTTGTGTGCGGCCGGCGGTGGGGCAGGGGCAGGGCCGACGCTGCAGTGCCAGCCCCTGGCGGGTTGGGGCTGCTGGCCAGGGCACCGCGCTGACAGCCGCCCGACCCGCCCCAGGGCTGCCTTGGAAGCCCGGCTGCCTTGCCTGTCCTGCTGCCTTTTCCCGGCCCAACGCAGAAATAACCGAGGGCASTCGGCTGCAGAGGACGGGAGAGTTTTCCTTTAGGACAGCTCTTTCGGCTTCCTCGCCAGAGATGAGTTGCTGACTCAGTTTATTATCTGGAGTCTTTAAAGCCTGCTTTATCACAACTCTAAACTGATACTTGCTGCCAGTGTTTCTATTATCCGTAGACTCCAAAGCCAGTAAAGTTGCTGTCTAAGCTTTCTCACGGATCCTCTTGGTAGCACTATTGCTTGGGAGAACGGAGTTCAGGTTCCTGTAACTTTCTGTTTTTCTTTTCAATGAAGTACTGGCCAGACTGGCAAGAAGACGACAACCTGTGTAAGCCCAGGCCTCCCTCACTGTGGAGGACATGGCTTCGGGCATTGGATCTCCGTCACCGTGCTCGGGGGGGAGTGATGATGATGACATGGAGATCCTGTTGAACAACGCTATCCCCCAGCATCCAGGTATGCAGAGCCTGCAGGGCATGCCTGTAGAGTGGGGATAATGTTGGTCTCAAGCTGAATACGTGAAATGCATGATGTGTTGGGGAATGTTTTTTTGTTTTTTTTTTCTGCGAGTCATGTATATGTTTTTGATRTGCGAGTCCCAGGGTTACTTTGCGGTGTGAAGCTTGCGGCTTTGTGTCAGGTGGAGCTGACTTTGTTCCAAGCCATTGCAGGTTGTCAGGGCCTGTGCTTGGAGGAGGTGTAGAGGGTGGAGGCAGAGCATCCAATTCTGATGGGGTACTGAAATACCTGCAAGTTTCAATTTTCATGAATGGGGAGGGGGAAGAGGGGGTAGTATGTGAAAGGGCAGGTTGCCTGACTTGCTTTCATCTGGGAACTCAGACCGGCTGACGTCCAGAGAAAACTGCCCTGGGCTGTTGCGTGACCCACTTTCCTTCATCACCACACCCAATTATTGAGATTTCTTGTGGTTCTTGCTTCGTGCGGCTTGCTCACCTTTGCTTTTTTTGTAGTCCTTGTGTCTTGCTTTTTCCCTTATATTTGCATCCTCATCAACATAAGGCTTCAGTCAGAGCCCTGGGAATTCTTCTGGTTTGCTTTTTTTTTTTTTTTTTTTTTTGTTACTGCTGCTGTGGGTGACCTGCTCTGGACATGCATCTGGATTCTTCACTTTCTTGTGGAAAAGGAATGATGTAAATAGTGATGTGCTAAATTGTAGGACAAGTGTGGGTTTTCCTACTAACTCATGCAGAGTGTTGTAATGTCATGTAAGAAAAATGTAACTGGAAAAGGGAAGACGATGTTTTGGACTTCGGGATTTTTTTTTGTAAGGCATTTTTTTCTTAAGCTTTGACTCTAGAGTTTTCTGGCATGTTTGAGTTCTTGGGCAGAAAGGGACTCTCAGGAAAATCTTGATGGAAAAAAAGCTGGTAAAATCCTTGCACAGTGGAGAGGTTTAGGTGGTACCATGGAAAGGGTGGGTCATTAGAGGCTCTAAATCAGAACTTGAGGGAGCTTAAGATGCATGAAGGACCTGGTGTTGCAGGACTATGAGAGCAAAGAGACAACCATTGATTGGGAATATGGCAGGTGCCAGGCATGGGACCCCAGGTTCTGAGAGCTCTACCTCTGCTGTTTCACCCCCGAATGCGGTAGCTCCTCTGACCTGTGGCTTCCTCCATCCTGCCCAGCTCCGGTGGTCAGGAGGCCATTTTCCCTTGGAGGGAGAAGGAGTGACTCTGGCTGTGTGCGGTGGGCGGGGCGGCAGGGGAGGGCGGGTGGCTGCACTGCTCTCGCAGCCTGCCACAAAGGGAAGGAAGGGCTGTCTGGCTGCCCCTGCCCCTCGGGCCAAGGGCAGCCAGGGAACAGGGCCACACAGATGGGAGTGTGCAGTGGTTCTGGGGAACTGGCATATGTTCTGACCAGGCAATGAGCTTGCTAGCTGCTGGGGCTGGAGGAAGGTTAAGTCAAATCTGGATCAGAATAGAGTTACTGAGTAACAGCTTTCCTATGGAGGAGAAAAAGTAGTGGCTTACTAGCCTGTRTTTTGCATGCAGCTATAGGATGTTCTGTATTGCTGAAGAGACTAGATGGTTTCTTTTTTGAAGATKCATGGACTGATACAGTATCCTACTCAGGTTCTCAAATACATTGACTGTTTTGCCCCTTTAGATGTGGTTTCATGCCCTTCCTCCTCTTCTTGGGCTATGGCAAACTTCTTGTCCCCAGGTTCTGAGTGCAGTTCTGCTTGGAGAAGGAATGTTGTGGAAATAGGTGGTGTTGGGACAGGGGAAACCATGTTTAGTGGTACCTTAGGATATAATTTTAATTATCTGTTGTGAACAGTACTAGTTGTAACCAGTTTTGTTTGTAAGTATGTAGCAAGAAGCAGACAAATTCATCTCTGTGAAGGGAGGCTATACTTTAATGCACAGAGGAGGGTTGAATGAGACATGTCACCTCTTCACATCCAGAACCTGAAGAAGAGCCGGAAGAAGAGCTTCTGTCAGAAGCTGACACTCCCAAAATCAAGAAGAAAAAGAAGCCCAAGAAACTGAAGGAGCCCAAAGTGCCCAAGCTCAGCAAGCGTCAGAAGAAGGAGGTAAGAAAAAGGATGCCTAAGGTCACACTCTAAAATATGGATCTGTAGGGTGAGGGTGCTAACTGTTGTTGGCCAATGGCAGCAATCTTTTGAATGAATCCTCTAGAGCTTGGGGTGGGAGAGATATTTAGTGCTTATCCAGGGTATTTTCTCATGCCTGATTCCTCCCTTGGTCTCCCCAGCTGGGGGATAGCTCTGGTGAGGGGAATGAGTTTGTGGAGGAAGAAGAGGAGGTTCTACGCTCTGACAGCGAGGGCAGCGATTATACACCTGGGAAGAAGAAAAAGAAGAAGTTAGGACCCAAGAAGGAAAAGAAAAACAAAGCCAAGCGCAAGGAGGAGGAGGAAGAAGAGGAAGARGATGATGACTCAAAGGTAACAAGCTACCCTGCTGGCTGCTTGCTCCTCATTCCCATGTATCTGATTTTGGGGGATCACTGTGCTCCCTTTCTGTGCTTGCACAGGGAGACTGTGTAGTCTCTTCTTCACTAGAACTACTTCACTTCTTCACTCTCTTCACTAGAACTACTTAACTTGAGGTTTTGCTGGTCTTGCATTCTTCCCTGTTTACTGCTTTAAACACACATGGAATTTATATTGAATCCAAATACTTTTCCCATTTCTACTGATCTGCTATTGTGGCTATGTCCTRTGGTAGTGATAAGTGGATGTGGAGGGAAGTACTTCCCTGGATCATCTGTGGAATGTGAAAGATGTGTGGAAGTTCTGCTCTGAGTTGCCATGATTCTCTTTTCATAGGAGCCAAAGTCATCTGCTCAGCTTCTGGAAGATTGGGGCATGGAGGATATTGATCACATCTTCACAGAGGAGGATTACCGCACACTCACCAACTACAAAGCTTTCAGCCAGTTTGTCAGGTGAGCTCCAAGCCTGTGCTTCAAAGGATTGTGGGAACAAAAAAAAAAAAGAGATGGGGTAAAAACTAGATGCCTTGATTTTGGAGCCACAGTGCACTAGTGTAGCACCTAGAGTGCAAACTGAAGCAACAGTAAAATAATTTATCCACAGCCTTTTCGTTTTCTGTCATTGAGATGTCATCATCCCCTTTCTTCCCTACTGTGCTAAATTCCATTTCKTTTTTCCAAGCCCCTGAATATTTCCATCCCTCACGTTGAGTGAAGGATGAGAGTGGAAAAGTTTATTGGCTGTTAATATCAGAGATTAGAAAGGAATGTAGTTGGAGATAAAGCTGCTCATGGGGGTGGCAGTGGGGAGGAATAATCTAGATTTCAGAGTGGTTCAGTAACCCTTTCTTCCTTCCTTAACTATACACAGGCCACTTATCGCAGCCAAGAACCCTAAAATAGCAGTGTCGAAGATGATGATGGTCCTGGGAGCCAAGTGGAGGGAGTTTAGCACAAACAATCCCTTCAAGGGAAGTTCAGGTGCATCTGTGGCAGCTGCTGCAGCTGCAGCTGTTGCAGTAGTGGAGAGTATGGTGACAAATGTGGATGCTGTCCTGCCGCAGCCCCCTGTAGATGTGCCAGTCAGGAAAGCCAAGACAAAGGAGGGCAAAGGTGAGATGAAGAGTTTGACAGGAGGATAGAGTGTGACTGGTGTCAAGGCAACAGCCCTYCTGACTCTGTCTCCTCTGTTCCCAGGACCGAATGCTCGGCGGAAGCCAAAGGCCAGTCCTCGTATTCCTGATATCAAGAAACCTAAAACAAAGAAGGTGGCACCGTTGAAAATCAAACTGGGAGGATTTGGTTCCAAGCGTAAAAGATCATCAGTAAGTGATGCTCCTTTCTTGACCTTCTGAGGAGGAGGCCATGATGTGATAGGAATGCTGGTGTGTGTGTGTGTGTGTGCCTGATTGCTGCCCTCCAGCATGCGTGTCTGAGTAACAAAGCTTTTCTCTTACCTACTTCAGAGTGAAGATGATGATCTGGATGTGGAGTCAGACTTTGATGATGCCAGCATCAACAGCTACTCTGTTTCAGATGGATCTACAAGCCGTAGTAGCCGAAGTCGCAAAAAACTCAAGGCTGGGAAGAAGAAAAAGAAAGGTATAGATACTTGGAATTGGAAACAGAAGCACAGCTAAGTGTGTAGAAAGATTAGAGGAATGTTTGTGTGTAGTTTAAATATTTAAGACCRTACTTGAGGGAGGAGAGTTGATTATGAAGGAAGAACCTGATATTATTTTGAATAAGGAAAACGCTTGCAGGAGTTCTTCCTGGAGTTGTTAGGGAAACAGGTAAGAGTGCTGAGTTTTCCTGGTCTTAACTGTACCTTTTATTTCATGGGTGGAAGCAGGCACAAAGGGACTTGTTTTTCTCCTGTTCCAGCTCTTCCTCCTTGCCCAGTTTACTTATATAGAACAAGGGTTCTGGATTATGTTTCTCTAGATAGTTGTGCAAGCTGTTGGGAGAATATCACTCTGGCTGTGGGAAGCCTGTACCTGTGGCTTGTACACCTGTGACTCCTTATCACCCTCTGCAGGTGAGGAGGACTCCACAGTGGCTGTGGATGGCTATGAAACTGATCATCAGGACTACTGTGAGGTGTGCCAGCAGGGAGGAGAAATTATACTGTGTGATACCTGCCCTCGTGCCTACCACATGGTTTGCCTGGACCCAGATATGGAGAAAGCTCCAGAGGGCAAATGGAGCTGCCCACACTGTGTGAGTATTGGATTCCCAAATGGTGCAAGAGGTTGTGGAGGAGGGGGATGTCAAGTGACTTGAGACTGCTCTTCTATAATAATGAAATAATCACTTTGGGTTTTTTATGTCCCTTTCCTRTAGGAAAAAGAGGGCATTCAGTGGGAAGCAAAGGAGGATAACTCTGAAGGTGAGGAAATCCTGGAAGATGTAGTGGGGGATGCTGAGGAAGAGGATGACCACCATATGGAGTTCTGTAGAGTCTGCAAGGATGGAGGAGAGCTGCTGTGCTGTGATGCCTGTCCTTCATCCTATCACATCCACTGTTTGAATCCCCCACTGCCTGAGATTCCCAATGGAGAGTGGCTCTGTCCTCGCTGCACTGTGAGTTTCTGCTTGTATCATTCTCCTATAGCTACAAGAGGTGATTGATCTAATCCCTTTGGATCCTCATATTTCTATGGAAATACACAGTCCTTTGAAGACTCTATCTCCTTGTACACTTTTGTCATAAAGCATAAAGGCCTGACTTTTTGTAGCTGAATTGTGCCTTGTTGATTGGCCACTTTCTCCAGTGGGAACAACCAGGCTACAGCCTCTGGGTCTCATGAGTTTTGCCCCATGTACTGGGTGGTTGGCCAGTTTCTGGTCCAGGATGCCAAGGCCCCCTTTTTTTGGCTCCTGTATGTGTGTACATCTAGGAGAACAAATACAAGCAAGTTCAGTGCTTAAAGTAATTTACTGAGACATGCTGAGATGCTGAGACAAACTGGTCTTGCACTGTTGTGAGCTCTGTAATGCCAAGACTTTTATTATTAACTAGTTCAGAGAAATGCCACACGTTTCCAGAAAGTTCTTGAAATAAGTAATTGGTGTTAGTTGCTTTCATTAGGTTATAAAACTTAAAAGGTGGTGAATGAAAAACCTGGTCATGCTGGATAATTAGTTGTAGAGAAAAACGTTTTCTGCTCAAATTTTCAGTGGAGTTGTGATTGGGCAGACTACTGGCCTCATCAAGCCTAGCAAATTCTGTCTGTGTAATGAAGCTATAAAAGTGACCCTTTCTGCTCCTCAGTGCTTCCATGTTAGAGTGCATACACTGTGATTCATCAAGCTCTGTTTAACTTCCCAGTGCCCAGCTTTGAAAGGAAAGGTGCAGAAGATCTTGATCTGGAAATGGGGTCAGCCCCCAGTTGGCCCCGCACCACCACGTCCACCTGATGCAGACCCTAATGCTCCACCCCCAAAGCCTCTGGAAGGCCGGCCTGAAAGGCAGTTCTTTGTCAAATGGCAGGGCATGTCCTACTGGCATTGCTCCTGGGTGTCAGAGCTGCAGGTGAGTGGAGGACTCTAATTATGGCATAAGAGGGGCGAGTTGAGCATAAAACACCTACTAACTGCTTGTGTCCTGACTGCAGCTGGAGTTGCACTGCCAGGTCATGTTTCGTAACTACCAACGCAAAAATGATATGGATGAGCCACCGTCGGGAGACTTCGGAGGGGAAGAAGAGAAAAGCCGAAAGAGAAAAAACAAGGACCCCAAATATGCTGAGATGGAGGAGCGCTTCTATCGATATGGGATCAAGCCAGAGTGGATGATGATCCACAGGATCCTTAATCATAGGTAGGGGGTGTAASAAAGAGGATTTTCGACTAAGATCTTAAACAGAGCTAAGGGAGACTGGATGAGCTAAACAGCAGTATGACTGGGAGAAATGGGGAGTTTTTTGTTGGTATGACAAATGTTCTGTTTCTGCTGCTTCACTATGAGTCCTTCCCTTCTCTTCCATTTGAGTGAATTGGGGGAGTTACTGCCATTTTACTGTGCTTAAGACTTACTGGTTTCTTTTACAGTGTTGATAAGAAGGGGAATGTCCACTATTTGATTAAGTGGAGAGACCTACCCTATGACCAGGCATCCTGGGAAAGTGAAGATGTGGATATTCAAGATTATGACCTCTACAAGCAAGCCTACTGGAATCACAGGTAGGAGCAGTATCTAGAGGTTGTTTTCCCTTCACTCGAGGAAGTACTGTAGCATGTCAGCCCCTAGCACTGGCTGGATTAATAGGTGGAAATAGGCAAGAAGCATCTTCTTGTTACTGACTCCTTATGCCTTTAGGCAGGGACCTTGTACCTCTCCACCAGTTCATGAAGGTTTCATCCCTGTTCTCTTGAGCCTGTTTGAGTTGGGTGATTGCCCTCCTATTCTCTGCAATAGTTTTTTTCTTGAGCTGTTAATAAAAAGCCATTAAACTCATGTGTACTTGGGACTGTCTCTGCGTAGGGAGCTGATGAGAGGTGAAGAGGGCAGACCTGGAAAGAAGTTAAAGAAAGTGAAGATGCGGAAGCTGGAAAGGCCCCCTGAGACTCCGACAGTGGACGTGAGTTACTGGTTTTTGCTTAGGAGCCGTGTGTTAGAACTGCTTGTTTTGGGGTGCCAGCAGATAAACAGGAAACTGAAGGGTGAGCAATGTATGGTTTAGAGCTCCTTCATGGCCCAAAGGATAAATGGCAATAGAGAGCATTCAGACAAAGGTCCACCATGTCCRTTGGGTCATACTGCCTCGCTCTTGGTGAAAGGGTTTTACAAAAAAAAAAAAAGCTTCTTGTTGGATGCCTTTGGCCATTTGGAAGTTGGCTTTGGTGCTAGTATAGTTGTCATCTGTGAAGCCTCATCTGTGCTGGTAAATATAAGGGTGACTGAGACTCTTGTTCATTATACAACTAAGGTAAAGGTTCTCAACTCTTCCTATTATAACTCTTATATTAACTCCTATTATAGCCAACAGTGAAATATGACCGGCAACCGGAGTACCTCGATGTAACAGGGGGCACMTTGCATCCCTACCAGCTGGAAGGACTGAACTGGCTGCGCTTCTCTTGGGCCCAGGGCACAGATACAATCTTAGCTGATGAAATGGGCCTGGGAAAGACTGTGCAGACAGCAGTGTTCCTGTATTCTTTATACAAGGAGGTGAGTGCTGGCAGGTCACTGCCCAGGGAGATTTTGCCTGTATTAGCAATTGCAGCTATTTAATGCTCTTACTGGCTCTATTTGTAGGGCCACTCAAAGGGTCCCTTCTTGGTGAGTGCCCCACTGTCCACAATCATCAACTGGGAACGAGAATTTGAGATGTGGGCCCCAGATATGTATGTAGTGACCTACGTTGGGGACAAAGACAGCCGGGCCATCATCCGTGAAAATGAGTTCACTTTTGAGGATAATGCCATACGTGGAGGCAAAAAAGCATCCAGAATGAAGGTACGGAACTCTGCTGTAACACAAGCCTCAATTGAGATGCACTATACTGGCTTTTAGCAGCTAGGATTCAGATATTCTGCTGTCCCTTGGAACTGATGATGCTTGTAGTTTCCAAGGGGAAATAACTGCAAATTGATGGCAAGTGGGCGTTTAGACTCCTGCTGTAGACTGTTTAAACACTCCTACTAGTGTGAACTAATGCAATATTGGAAAAGATAGTTGACTAGGGTAATACTGACCCTAGGCAAGTCCTTCTGTCTTCCCTGCTTAATCAGAGAAGTTGTGCATCTTTTCTACCTATCAGTCGATGTCAGAATTGCCACTCTATGTGAAAGACAGATACACAAAAAGTGTATGAACTTTTTCATCCTTGAGGAATTGGCTGACAGTGAGGCCATACCCAGATACCCGAGAAACTGCATTCTGTGCCCAGACAGGAAGGAAGAGTCTGATCTAGGTGGCTAGTTTTTGTAGAACTTTCATCTTCCTAGTAAAACCAAGATGGAAGCTAAAGCATTTTCCGTGGTAGAGACAGATAGACTCATTTCCTTCACTSGAGATGGAACAATATTAAGTACTAACAGTAGTTTAAAGTTCTGTGGTGAACTATTTCTCTTTTTAAGTCTTAGCTTTTGGATGAGCCACCGTTCTCCAAATCTCAATTCCTTAAAATGCCTCTACTCATTTCTTATTTGTTAAACATCTGTTACAGTATTTGACAATTGTCCAAAAGTAGCAGGTACTTAGGGGGTTGAGGACACTTAAATGTTTTGAGAGTAATAGGAAATTAAAAGGCTAAAGTGGTTTGGGCAGCAATTTTCAACCAGACAGGAAACTTGGGGTGTGAAAAGTTTTTGGTGTGCTGTTTGACCAGGGCTCATGAGGATTCCTTGATGGAAAAAGACTGCATGCTTTATCCCATCAGATGTTCATCCTTTTCCTTTGCAGAAAGAGGCTGCTGTCAAGTTCCATGTACTCCTCACCTCCTATGAACTGATCACTATTGATATGGCCATACTAGGCTCTATTGACTGGGCCTGTCTCATTGTGGATGAAGCTCACAGACTGAAGAACAATCAGTCAAAGGTACAGAGAAGCATAGGTGGTTCATAGGCATGGCATATGTTGCAGAGGAGAGAGACAGCTCTTACTCATTTGTTCAGTAGTAAATCTGATGTATTATTAAAAAGGAAAATCAGCAGTCTTCATTTGGARATCAACGATCATTGGCAACAACTTTACTTACACAGCTCACTGATTAAAGCAGTTTTCTTTCCAGGTGAATGGGCGAGTTGTGTAGACTGGAAAACAGAAAAACTTGGATGTAGTTGTTGCTCTCAAATTCAAAATATTTCTCTGAAAGCAGATGACATATCTTTACCACCTCTATTCTGAAAGGGCTTACATGCTGAGTGTAGAACATGCTCCATGAGCAGAATTACCCTGCTTCCAGGGTAGGCTTGCTCTCTGCTTTCATCTGGCTTTGTAGCAAAACTAATTAGGTGTTGCAGTAACAGAAGGTGGGCAGAAGTGTTAAAAAATGTCTGGGTAGGTGCTAAAAGCCATATAGATCCTTTCATGGGAGGCTGCACCTTAACTAAGCTTGTTTGAATTTAGTAGGTTTGAGTGTACTTTCTTAATCCAGCCCCTTCTTGGGCCTTGTGCCTTAATTCTGGTAGTGATTTGTCTGTCTTCAGCTGGGTTCTAGTGCTCTATGCCAAAACCATTATTGGAAAGCTGGTTTTAGMGGTTCTTGGAGACTGTGTAAGACAAAATTGCTGCTTGATTTCTTTTTTGTTGTTGTTTGTTTTATTTAAATGGCTTTAGTGTTTTGGATCTTGGCACGAGGCATCTTCCTGAGACATCACAGCTGTGCTTGCAGTTCAGTTTCTAGATCTTATTTTATTGTAAGCACTAAGACTGGGTGCTGTTCTGTGCTTAGCATTGAAACCATTGGAAGTAGGCATGAATGCTTACTATTAATATTCATTAATTGAAATAGGATGTAAAGGCTCAAGGTTACACCATGACACTATGCAGAACTATTAAATCTATATTTTTCTACAGCAGTTTCCTGTCCTATAAGAACAGCCTGTAGGTGATTGGCTGCAAGATAGATCAGATGCTTCTTGACAAATTGGGGTTATCTCCTAAAGTTTTGCAGATATAATTAGTAACTTCCATATTTGATTCCAAAATAAGAATATTTTTAACTGTAACTACATAGAAAGATAAATCCCTATGGAGGCCACAAGAAGTACTCTTCTGCTGTGATAACCAAAACATAAGTGATTTGGTTTTTGTTGGCCATTTAGTAAAGCTGCTTTCATTAAGTTTGACCTTGTGTCATGCTGGGTAAGATATGCAAGGAAATGGCCAAGCTCATAAATAAATGACTGCTTTACTGTCAGTTTGTGCAGGTGAACATGGTACACTTGTGCTTTTCAGTGCAGTACTTTAACTGCTTACTATATCTGTCTGGAATTACTTCATTGTTGTGAAAACCAGTGCAAATTACCTTCAACRCACATTGGCAAACCCTTAAGTCTTTGTCTCCTCAGCTTGTTCAGAGCTCTGGAACACTGCCAGGATTGATATGAATAGGAAGAGTGACTTAGTTATTTCTAGAATTYTCAAGGCAGAGTAGTTGTAGGAATGTGGAACACTCATTTAGCAAGAAAAAATACATAGTGCAGCAGTCTAGAAATGATTGGTGGTCTAGAAGAGTTTGTAACTTGTAACAGCAAAGGAAACCTGCCAGTCAGTACCTGATGGCTCGTAGGATTTGCTGCAGTCATGTTTTAGCTATGCAGAACAATGATCTAAATAAAATCAGTCTAGTGACCCTGACTGGAATGTGAACTACTTGGAACTCATGTCCAAACAGCTGATGTGATCTAAATTGAACCCTAGCTTGGTGTCAGCTCTTTCCCTAGGAGGATTTTTATTGCAAGCCTATGACTTAATAAGCCTTTGACATACTTGTGTGTGTTTTGGTTTATTTTCCAACTCTCTTCCCTGCTCTCTCCTTTCCAGTTCTTCCGTGTGCTGAATGGTTACTCCCTCCAGCATAAGCTGTTGCTTACAGGAACTCCCCTGCAGAACAACCTGGAAGAACTGTTCCACCTGCTGAACTTCCTGACGCCCGAAAGATTCCAGTATGTCTTGCAGTGCAAGTCAGCCTGCCTGTCTTACCATTCCTATCCCCTCACTTGCTCTTTTGCTCTTTTTCCTTTGTGGCRTTTGCTGAGTGTCTGTTTCCCTGCAGTAACTTGGAGGGCTTCCTAGAAGAGTTTGCGGATATTGCCAAGGAAGATCAGATCAAGAAGCTGCACGACATGCTGGGCCCGCATATGCTGAGGCGTCTCAAGGCTGATGTTTTCAAGAATATGCCATCTAAGACTGAGCTCATTGTCAGAGTGGAACTGAGTCCCATGCAGAAGTGAGTGTTGGGAGTGAAGAGAGCACCTGCTGTTGAGCTRCTGTTTCTCTGCTCTGCAGTTTCAAAAAGGATGCTGCAACAGTCTTGTCCTTACTCTGCAGGGCTTTCTGCATAGTGGGCTGCTGCTAGAGCAGAGGAAGAACTATCCTGTGCTCTGGTGTAAGGGATAAAGAGATAGTAAATGCCACTGGCAGAGCCTAGGTAGCTGGCAGGTAATGCCAGGAGCTGTACAGAGTTAAGCAAGAGAAGAGTAGGTTAGTCATTCTCATGAGAGCTTTGTCTGAGTTGTTCTATTTTCTTTTTTGTTTTCAGGAAATAYTATAAATACATTTTGACAAGAAACTTTGAGGCACTGAATGCACGGGGTGGTGGTAACCAAGTCTCGTTGCTCAATGTTGTTATGGATCTGAAGAAGTGCTGTAATCACCCCTATCTCTTTCCTGTGGCTGCTATGGTATGTCCAATCACTTACTCTGTGTAAGCAAATTCCCTGCTGGGGGTTATCCGAGAGCTGGTTAGCTCCCTAGGTGAAGCATRGAGGGGGCCCCATTTCTCTCTTTGTGCTTCTGTATGTTTTTTTCATCATTCTTTGTTTAGCCCAAACATGCTAGAAGACCATTCCTTTTCCATAATATTCGTATGTCAGGTAGGAGCTATCTTGTGACTCACGTGAAATGGTGAAGAATGTAAAAGTAAGAACTAAGTAAGAAAAAAGAGGAGGGTATGGAAGAGTCAAATTGCAAGAGAATAGGCGCAGGGGTAGCATTGGTGTTTCATACAGGCAGTGCTATACCTTGTGGTTGTGCCAAGCTAAGTTACCAGGTGTGAGCCTGCATCAGCTGGGGACTAAGACCAAGTTACGTTCCTGCAACCTGTTTTTGTCCCTTACCGCTTATTCCCTTATTTCTCTTTTTCTTCTTAGGAAGCTCCAAAAATGCCAAATGGCATGTATGATGGTAGTGCACTTATTCGAGCCTCTGGAAAGCTGTTGCTGCTCCAGAAGATGTTAAAGAACCTGAAGGAAGGAGGTCACAGGGTGCTCATATTCTCTCAGGTATATGGAGGAAAACGGAAAGGTTGGGAATACTTTTTCTAAGAAAATTTTTTTGATGTGCTATCCCCTTGTACCTCGCTCTTCCATGGTGGTGTTTTTCTGCTGTGCAGATGACTAAAATGTTGGACCTTCTGGAAGATTTTTTGGAACATGAAGGGTACAAATATGAGCGGATTGATGGAGGAATCACAGGGAACATGCGTCAGGAAGCTATTGATCGCTTCAATGGTATATAGTCTCCTATATTTGCTGTAAAATGACAACTTGCCTTGTATGTGCTTAATGCACAACATGCGATTGTTGTGCCCCAAGTCTTCCATTGCTTTCCTGAAATGTTAAATTAGTAAATTAGCAGTAATTCTTTGTCAGGTGATGTAGGTCAGTTACAAATCCTTCTCTGAGTGTTACACTATCCCTTGATTACTTTTGTTCTCTTTTTTTTTTTTTTTTATCTTAGCTCCTGGAGCTCAGCAGTTCTGCTTTCTGCTTTCAACTCGAGCTGGAGGTCTTGGTATTAACTTGGCCACAGCAGATACTGTGATTATCTATGATTCAGACTGGAACCCCCACAATGATATCCAGGTGAGTCTGAATGAGATCACTCACTGTGGAGTAATCTTCAGGAAGAGGGGAAGTGAAATCACCAGAAGAGTGAAGGAACGTGAGATTTCCCTTCTAGAAATTGCAAAATTAGAGCAGTGAGGATGGGTGCAGATGGAAACCAAAATAGTGGAGGGTTCTTCCAGGGTAGAGCCTTCACTAATGCTAAGAGCCAGCATGAAGGYAGGTAGGAAGCTTGTGGAGGTAGGTGGGGTATATCAGACTACTGCTTGTGTAGCTCTGGATTGTTTTGAGTACATCTCTTTTCTAGGCCTTCAGCCGTGCACACAGAATTGGACAGAACAAGAAAGTGATGATATACCGCTTTGTGACAAGGGCCTCAGTGGAGGAGCGTATCACTCAGGTGGCCAAGAAGAAGATGATGCTAACTCATCTGGTAGTGAGACCAGGGTTGGGCTCCAAGACAGGCTCCATGTCCAAACAGGAACTTGATGACATTCTCAAATTTGGCACTGAAGAGCTCTTCAAGGATGAGGCTACTGAGGGGGGTGAGTGTCTGGGAGTAGAATTGGAGGGGGTGGGGAGATCTGGCACCTTATTTAGTGAGAGTGCTGATTATAGCTCTACTGAGAGGTCTAGGGCAGCAATCCCTTTCTTAGTCCCTAGAGATCCATACAGCAACAGTGCCTGTGCTCTTCCTTTAGGGGATAACAAAGAAGGTGAGGACAGTAGTGTCATCCACTATGATGACAAAGCAATTGAGCGTCTGTTGGATCGGAACCAGGATGAAACAGAAGATACAGAACTTCAGGGCATGAATGAATATCTCAGCTCCTTCAAGGTGGCCCAGTATGTGGTTCGTGAGGAGGAGATGGGGGTGAGTGTGAGGTGGATGTCAGCTAATATGTTCTCCAGAGTGATGGAGGATCAATTAAGTAAATTGAGCTCTGAAGTTTTTAAGGGCAAGCAAGCATATATCTGGAACTTGGAGTGTAGGGCCCTAAATTTGTTACCTCTCTGGCAGGAGGAAGAGGAGGTTGAACGGGAGATCATTAAGCAGGAGGAGTCGGTGGATCCTGATTACTGGGAGAAACTGCTGCGTCACCATTATGAACAACAACAGGAGGATCTGGCCAGGAATCTGGGCAAGGGCAAACGTATTCGCAAGCAAGTTAACTACAACGATGGCTCGCAGGAGGATAGAGGTACAAATCCACAGGACCCTGAGGGAAAAACGGGTGTAAGTATATGTTTCTGGGAAGTAACGGAGTAGCGTCTCAGGCTCACGTGCTGTTTTTCTTTCAGACTGGCAGGATGACCAGTCAGATAATCAGTCAGATTATTCAGTTGCCTCTGAAGAAGGAGATGAGGACTTTGATGAGAGATCTGAAGGTAATTTCTCCTGAAGCCAGAGTTCCTGGGTTGCTTTGAGCATGGAAAAAACTGGGACATGATTTGGGTGATTTATACATTTTGTAATGCTCTCCTGCCAGGGCAATGTTYGCAAAACAAATATGCTGTGCATTGTCTTGTTACTTAGCTGCATTTCTTTCTTCAGCAGCTCGTCGGCCTAGCCGCAAGGGCCTGAGGAATGATAAGGACAAGCCTCTGCCTCCCTTACTGGCCCGTGTGGGAGGGAACATTGAGGTAAGTTGTATCAGGGAAAGCATTTGCATCCCAGCTGCTCCTATATTGCTCTTGCCTTATCTGTCTGTCTGCTCCTTCATTCTAGGTGCTGGGTTTCAATGCTCGCCAGCGGAAAGCCTTTCTCAACGCTATCATGCGCTATGGAATGCCACCTCAGGATGCCTTCACCACTCAGTGGCTTGTTCGGGACCTCCGTGGCAAGTCTGAGAAAGAGTTCAAGTGAGTCTGCATTAGGCAGGAATAAAAGACTGATAGCATCTAGTTCCTTTGGAGAAGAATGAAAGTTGGGCCTTTTCTTAGAGGCTAAATTTCTTAGAGAATACAGTGTACTGGTTGATTCTTTGTGGGAACATGAAGTATAAGCTGGGAGAGATGAGGGGGTTGTTCGTAGTTCTCTTACTTGGACTGACTCTTCAGTCACCAAAAGCAAATGCTTTTAGAGGGGTAGCATGGCTATACAAGCAGGTAATAAATACCCTCCTGGAGTTCTTTCTTGGACTTGTGTTGTTTCTGGCTCAAGACCCCTGAGTTAGTTATATGTATTTTATGTATGTAGTGATTCTGTCATGATAYTACCCCTTGAAGGAGCCTGGACCCTCAGAACTTGTGTTACTGTGGGTTAAGAGTCTCAGCATAATTTCTCTTAYGTGCAGGAAGAGGGTCTGACAATGCATGTCTCCAGATAATGCAATTTATTTACCAATCGCTTGTCTCTCGATTGCTGCAGGGCTTATGTCTCACTGTTCATGCGTCATTTATGTGAACCTGGAGCTGATGGTGCAGAGACCTTTGCAGATGGGGTCCCACGGGAAGGTCTTTCTCGACAGCACGTCCTTACTCGCATTGGGGTCATGTCACTTATACGTAAAAAGGTAGGTGCTTAGCAGAGCAGTGTGATCTTTTCTGTCCCTACAGCTGTAGTCACTGGGGTCTTCAGTTGGGGAATTGCCTCTCTTTTTGCACCTACTTCTGTTGTGTGCTCAGTGGTCTGCCTCTACAGGTGTAAGGRTGAGCTTTATATTACTCCTGCAGTGATACGTCTTTATCTCCCTCTCATACAGGTGCAGGAATTCGAGCATGTAAATGGCCGCTGGAGTATGCCAGAACTGGCAGAAATAGAGGAGAACAAGAAACTTTCACAGCCTAGCTCACCCTCTCCCAAAACTCCAACTCCTTCAACACCTGGGGATACACAGCCGAATACACCTGCCCCTGTTCCTCCACCTGGTGAGGGCTCCYATCTTACACAACCCTGTGTCCTGACCTTACCCTGGCTGTTCCCCTCACCGGAATTGTGGTGGTGGGGTCTGGGGCTGGACGCAGATCAGCTTACTCTCATGTTAGGAGGGCTGCCAAAGACATGTGCAAGCCCTTAAAGGCAAGAGAGGACACTAGCTTTCCTGGGATCAGTGAAAAGCCCAGCATTTGTAGTGGGCAGGGCRTCCTGTTAGTTCCATTTTGATGGACCTGATCTCTGGGAGCAAAGGAGAAGTGTGCTTGGTAGCAGGGAAGGAAAGACCTTACTGATTGTGTCTCTTCTTTTGTCTGCTGTGCTGCTCTGGCATGGGGAATACACAGAAGAAGGCGTAAAAGTAGAAGAAGGAGCTAGTGCTAAGGAGCAAGGAGAGCCATGTGAACCAGAGAAAGAGCTCAATGCCTCTGCAGCTGAAGCAGAGGTCCCCATGGAGGTGAGTGTTAGGTGACTTGTTTKCATCGTAATTTCTCTTGCAAATTTCTCTAGTTCTGCCCCCTCTTCATGTCTTGGCTGAGGCAGAGATGAGTTCTCTGAGCAATACTTGAAGATGACTCTGGTCCTCGAATTGGCCTCACAGTTTTGTGTGTTTTTGCTTTCCAAATGACTGACTGTTCTGTTGCCATGCACTGTTGTTCTTTGTGTCTCACTGATTGCTGTCCTCAGCAGTGTGCTCAGCCTSTAGAGACACCACCCCAGGAAGCAAAATCCCCGGTGAACTCCACAGAAGCAGATGAAAAAAAAGAGGAAACGGAGGTGAAGGAAAGACCGGATGAACCAATGGAAGTAGAAAGCAAAGGTACAAAGCACTTCATCCTAAAGAATGAGGCTTGAATGTAGAAAATCAATTGGGAGTTACAGAATAGTAATTGGTTTCAATGGCTGAAGAACAAAGTTGTGGACTTGCAATGTTCCTGTACATCTCATGTTACCCTTCTTTCCTGCAGCTGATGTGGAGAAAGTGGAAGACAGAGCAGCTATTGAGAATCCCTCTGAACCTCCTATAATTACTCTGGATGAGAARGGTGAGGCAGGATAACACCCTTCTCGTCCTTAACCCTTTTCCTGCAAGGATTCCATGTGGGTCCAACCTGTCACGGTATCTGCCATGTTTTTTCTACTAATTTCCTGTGTGTACAGATGAGAAAAAGGACGATGATAAGAGAGATGTGGTGATGCTGCAGAATGGAGAGATGCTGAAGGAGTCAGTAGATGAAAGGCACAAGAAGGCAGTAAAGCAGCGCTTCATGTTCAACATAGCAGATGGTGGTTTCACTGGTAYGAGATTTTTATCTGCTTGAACTCGTTTATAAGCTCCTGCTTTATGTTTGTGAAATAACTTCCAACTGTTCTGGTGTCTCTTGCCTTTCCAGAACTGCACTCCCTGTGGCAGAATGAAGAGCGGGCTGCAACCGTCACCAAGAAGACCTATGAGATTTGGCATCGGCGTCACGACTACTGGCTCCTTGCTGGGATTATCAAGTATCCTTGCCATGACAAACACATTCTCCCACCTTGTACATAATTTGTCACAGTGAAGGTGGCCATTCTGGGTCTGACTGGACTAGGTTAAGTGAGAGAGTGCTTTTACCTGCTTCACAAGAGTGAAAGTGATGGRGGGAGGGGGAACTCCCTGTAGCATAGTTAAGACTTAGCAGGACATAGTTCTCATTCCTCTTCCTTGGTTTCTGTTCCTCCCYTCTCTGTACCCCCTTTCTCCACCCCCTCTGGAGAACAGTACCGCCTGGACTGTGTATTCCCTTGTTCTCACTGCCTTTGTTTGCCTGAGCTCATTCCATCTCAGTCATGGCTATGCCCGTTGGCAGGATATTCAGAATGATCCRCGTTACGCCATCCTCAATGAACCCTTCAAGGGTGAGATGAACCGGGGTAACTTCCTGGAAATAAAGAATAAATTCTTGGCAAGGAGATTTAAGGTAAAGTTTTCTCTTTAGTATGGTAACTGCCTGGATCTCTTGAGGCCAAATAGTTGTAGTGAGCTTCCACCAAGGAAGTGAAAGGTTTATGCAGTGCCTTTTATTTTATGGGTAATAAAAGAAGCAATACAATCTCAGGATCACACAGTTGCTCCATGATAGGAGCTMCCTCTTTTCTGGAAGTGGTGTTGGGGGGCTTGGTTCAGTGCTTTCTATCCAAACGYTTATTGAACAACTGGTATGCAGGAGGCTTAAGGTTCAAGTGGCTGTTTTCGTCACAGCTTCTGCTTGGTCTGCTACAGCCCACTCCATGTGCCTGAATGGAACTGTATGGATGGGTGGAAGGGCTGCCTTCATAATTTKCTTCATCCTCCTTAGGAGTGAACATAGCCTAGCTTTGGGAGTGATTTAAAATCAATCCAAGTAAAGCTATGTAAATCTTAGTCCTGGGGCAGGACATTATTGACTACAGACTGAATGATCAGTTCTACACTGAGAAGATTCCAGTTGGTTTCTTCAAATGCTTACARTCTTTTAGACTCTTTCTATAAACAGCTTGGAATACTTCTCTCTTGGGCTCAAAGAGCAGTCTGCATCCGCTTGCCTCAAAAAGCATGTGTAAAAAGAATCAGAGGCAGRATGAAAAGACTAGAGGAGTTGTAGTCTGTTAAATCTGATGTAGCCTGGTTGTCTTGAGTTTTGACTTAGCTTCATGAAGCCTTTACTGTTTCGGGCTACTCAGTAAAACAGGCTGGTGAAACAATCTTACCTTATGAGATGGTGGAGAATTGGATTAGGAGAGTGGGGGTGCTACCTCTCAGGAAGGATCCCTCACAGGTAGCTGCCAAAAGACTTATTCCTGCGCCACCTTGCAGCTCCTGGAGCAAGCACTGGTGATYGAGGAACAGTTGCGGCGAGCTGCCTATCTGAACATGTCCGAAGATCCATCTCACCCATCCATGGCTCTGAACACACGTTTTGCAGAGGTAGAATGCCTGGCTGAGAGCCACCAGCACCTATCCAAGGAGTCAATGGCTGGGAATAAACCAGCCAATGCTGTGCTGCACAAAGGTAATTGTGTGTGTTAAGCAAGGGTGGGATAGATACTTAGCATTGCTGTCCCCTCTGGATTTTTTCCCTCTGGGGTGTCCCTTTCTCCTCGGAACAGATGTCCCTTTCTCTTGTAGTTCTGAAGCAGCTGGAGGAGCTTTTGAGTGACATGAAGGCAGATGTGACTCGTTTGCCTGCCACAATTGCCCGTATCCCACCTGTGGCAGTGCGCCTCCAGATGTCAGAGCGCAACATCCTCAGCCGCCTGGCCAACCGCAGCAGTGAGCCCCCGCCACCACCTCCTCCCCAACAAGTACGTACTGTCTCTGGTCAGTAAGGGAGTTATGGGGGGAGGGGGGCTCTGGTGACCAGCCCGTGAGTCTCAGGTCCTCTTCTCTCGCCCTACAGGTGGCCCAGCAGCAGTGAGTCCCTGGCCCAGTGCTGTTGACCTTTCGGCCAAGCTGAAGTGACCCCCCCCACCCCACCCTTTCACACTACCCCTCTGCCTGACATTCCTGACTGGGTGCTGTTTCCCTCCATGGAAGCTGCTGCTCAGGTCTCTGGGAGGAGAAGAAACTCCTTCCTCTGCAGCCAGCCCGTTGGAGCAAGGAGTGTGTTTTGGAGAGAGGGGGATGGATGTATGATGGACTCTGTATATAGTGACTGGAGGCCCCAGCGCCATGTCTGTTACATGGAGAGCCTGGCTGTATTGCTCGTTGCCTCCGCCTGGAATTCCAGTTTTCGTTCTTAATTTTATTTTGAGTTTGTTTACTGAGACAAGTGCGCAGGCAAGACCAAGCAAAAGCCAGGACAGAGACAAAGCTACCTCCATCAAAATCCTTTTTAATACAAAAACTGACCGGACTTGTCARCTATAAGCAGCTTGAAGACAAAAGCAAACAACAGTAAAAAAACAACAAAAAACAGAGCAAAACGTTGATAAAACTGAAAAATAAAGTTTCCTTGTATTTTATTTTGTTCTCTATTGTAAGTATATGGTCTCAACATTGCAAGAAGAGGTAGTCTCGTCTTTTTTACGAATGAGAGCAGCTTTTGCGGTATCCTACACCTGTGAGAAGGGTAGTAGATGCTCTGCCCTGGCATTGTTCAAGGTGAGGTTCGATAAGGCCTTTGTAAACCTGGTCTCAGGAGTGCTGTCCCAACCCTGGCCGGCGTGTTGGGCTAGGTCSTCTGATTCTATAACTTGTCTCCCGCTTCCTTCTGCACCACGCTGCCTGCCCTGGGCTGTTAAACCCCTGCCCCCCTTGCAGGGCCCGACTCCTTGGGGGAGAGGAAACCTGCCCGGTGCCTGCGTGTGCCTCCGGCAGGAGCCGGACTCCCGTGGGCTGCCGGGGTCCCTCCCCGTCCCGCAGCCCCTGAGGAGCGGAGCCGCTGCCGCCGTGCCCGGGGCGGGGCTGGGCCCGCGGCCCCACGTGTCCCGGCAGTGGGCGGCCCGGGCTGTGACGTCGCCGTCGGGCCAATCAGCGATCAGGAGCGGCGGCGCGGGGCGGGCGGGCGGCAGGCGCGTGCGCCGGGGCGGCGGGGAGCGCGGCACGTGCGGCGGGGGCGCGCGGGGTGCCGGGGTGCAGCCATGGGGCGGAAGCTCGACCCCACCAGGAAGGAGAAGCGCGGGCCCGGGCGCAAGGCCCGCAAGCAGCGCGGGGCCGAGGTGGAGCTGGCCCGGTTCCTGCCGCCAGGTAAGTGCGGCCTGCGCCGCCCCGCGGCCGCCCCGCTGCGCCCSTGGCCGTCTGACCGCCGCGTGTCTTCCCGCAGAGCCGGAGACTGGCAAGAAGAAGCTCTCCAGTCACGGGAGAAAGAGGTGAGGGGGACGATTCGGCGGGACGGGGGTGGGCGGGCCGGGCCGGGGCTGATCGCCGCTTCTCCCGATCCAGGGCTGCGAAGAGGCGACTGGGAGCGAGCAGCGGCCCGGCGGGGAGGAGGCCGCTCGGAGGAGGAGGAGGAGGAGGGCGGGAGCCTGCAGGTGAGTGGAGCGGAGTCCGAGCCGGGTTCACGGGCCGCCGGTCCCCCGTCCTGCTGCCCCCCGGGCGCTGCTGTCACCCTACGGTTCCTGCGTCATCTTTGAGGCAAGGGACATGTGGAATTTCATTATTTGAAATCACAGAATCATAGAATATACTGAGTTGGAAGGGAGGCCCAAGGATAACTCAGTCCAGCTTCTGACCCTGCACAGGACCATYCCAAGAATCACACCCTGTGCCTGAGAGTCGCGTCTAAACACTTACTGAACTCAGTTAGGGCTTGGTGCTGTGSCCACTGCCCKGGGGAGCCTGTTCCAGTGCCCAGCCACCCTCTGGTGAAGAACCTTTGGTAATATCCAACCTAAGGCTCCCCTGACACAGCTGCAGACTGTTCCCTCAGACCCTATCTCCGGTGACCAGAGAGAAGAGATCAGTGCCTGCCCCTCTCCTCCTCACAAGGAACTTGTAATTGCAGCAAGGTTGCTCCTCAGTCTTCTCCAGGCTGAACAGAACAAATTACCTCAGCTGCACCTCATAAGGCTTCCCCTCCAGACTCTTCATCTTGGCCCTCCTTTGGGTGCTCTCTAATAGATAATAACAATGAATTCTAATGGTTTTCTGATGGCTGCTGTGCCAGGAGGCAGTGTTGTCTAAAGAGCTAGTAAAAGGTCTCTTTTCCACATGTTAAATCCATTTTTCACTTACCGTCCATTGACAGCAATGTTGTTGTCTGCCTTTGTAGCTGAGGCTTTTAAATCTGCATGTTACACCTTGTATAGCCCCTCACAGTAGGAAGAACAGACAAAGATTTGGGATGGAGAGTGCCCTAATACATCAGAGCAAATACCTTAAGAATTTTGTAGCAGTGTTTTAATTTGGTAATTCTCGTTAGATCTCCTTAAAGGTCCACTGCGGGCGTGGTGAGAATATGCCCAGTACTTTATGAGATGTGGAGGGCAAGCAGTCCCTCTTGGACAGGCAGCTCAGGACTAGGATGAAGGSCTTTTTGTGTAACAACTGAAAAAGCAGAGCAGCTCCTTTTGGATTAATGCCTAATTTTTAACCAYTTCTGCCTTTAGCTGAAGAACAGGTGTCCCTGCAGAAGGAGAAACGTGCTGTAAAGACAGCAGGACAAGCTGCCCGTGTCCGGTCTGGCTTCAGTGATAGCAATTCCAAGTGGCTGGCTCCAGCTAAAGCTAAGAAAACCCAACCTAAAGGAAACCATGTGGAATTATCCAGCGATGGTGAGGTGGAAGAGGACAACTGGGAGATGGAGGAGGAGGAGGATGGGAGCAGCGAGGAGATGGTGGATGATTATGGTGCCTCATCATCAGAGGAAGAAGAGGTAGGAACTTCTTGCCCTTAATTACACAAGAAGTACATAGTGATGTTGGCTGAAAGGACCCCTTGGGCCTGGGGAAACAGTGTGGTTTTAGTGGCGGGGGGTGGAGCAGTAATGGAGAACTTTCCCTTTCTTCCCTTCACAAGAATGATTTCAAGTTTAGCAGCTGATTCCAGCATAACATTTAATGCTTTTGTTTGTTGTCCCATTTAAACATAGCAAGTTTCACAGATGGAGGGAAAATAGGAGACTACTATGGATGATTTTTGATTAATCTTTTGTCTCTGTTTAGCTGCTGCCTATTGAAAAAGCGGCCCTGAAGCAGAAGTTGGACAGGTGAGTATGTGGAGCCTTTCCTGGACAGATGAGGAGTCTGTGTTGTTATTCTTTTGTCTTTTGTACCATCTAAGAAACAATAGCTTTGAAGGGTCTGTGTTCTTTGTCCTTAGGGAAGGTGTCAGTGAGGATGACAGTGAAGAGGAAGAGGAGGAGGAAGCAGAAGAGGCAAGCAAGCAGAAAGTGGGACAGAAGGAAGAAGAGGGCCCAGATCTGCAGCTCAACCTGGATATAGATGAACAATTTAAACTGCCAACTAGTGAAGAGATTGAGAAGGAAGATATCCTTTTTATCTGTGACATCCATAAGCCATGTGCGTGATGCAGCACGGGGCCTGGGTACAACCAAAGAGCTTCACTTGGACTTTATCATGCATATTGCTTAGCAGGAGTGTCTGTGTATGACAAGGTATTTTTAGCTGAGCTGTCCTAATAGATAGTGTTTAATGTTGTGCTTCTGTATAGCACATTTAGGAAATCTGTGACGCCCTGTATGGGGCTTGGAACCTGCCCTAATTTTCTTTCTAGTCCTAAATACATATGGATGTCTTATCATGCGGCTTGTTCCTCCCTACCCTGATTTTCCTGGCAAGTGTTTTTGTAACCCATTCCCAGAGTTTCCGATAACAGCAATTCTAGCATCCAACGTTCTTGCTGCTGGACTTCAGTGATTTTAATTTGTTTCCTCCTTTCTTACTCTCCTCTGTACCCCTTGGTTGCCACTGGGGAACTTCTCCTCTGCTGCAGGTAGTGTTTTTGATATTAAAAGAGTTCTTTTGTTGGAATTTTTTTTCTATTTTCACTGTTTATCTGAAGTAATTCTTTTACACTCCCTGTAGTTCTGCCTAGTGAACTTTTTAGTGCAGTTCCATCCTTTGAATCCCTYATCTGCAGAGCTCTATTGAAAGCATATTCCAGCAGAGCCTTTCTRTTGTGGTGCCCATCCTGTATAGCTYGTTGTCCTTGTAAAGAGCTTCTGCRAGTTCCTTGGCTGTTTATGATTCCTTGACGGTGTTCCCACCTGCTGAGCCCCCTGACCTGCACGTYGTTCACCAGCGCATCAAGGGCAACATGGAGGTGCTGCAGGAYTTTGTGGTGAAGCGGGAGGAGGGGCGCACGCGGCAGGAGTACCTGGCACTGCTGCGCCGTGACATGGCCACCTACTACTCCTACAGCGACTTCCTGCTCACCAAGCTCATGGACATCTTCCCACTCCCTGAGGTGGGATCCTGCCCTGCCCTTAGCTGTGCTGACTGATGGGGGTTTGGCTGCCTCCTGACAATTCGTGTGTATCTCTGTTCTCTGTCCCTTCTTCCATCCAGCTGATAAACTTCCTGGAGGCCAACGAGGTTCCCCGCCCTGTCACCATTCGCACCAACACACTGAAGACTCGGCGGCGGGACSTGGCACAGGTGAGTGGGAACCAGTGGCTGTGTTGTGAACTGCCTGTCCCACGGAGCAGTGTCTCAGTCCCTTCTTGTCTTGCAGGCTCTAATCAACCGTGGTGTGAATCTTGACCCCTTGGGGAAGTGGTCGAAAACGGGGCTTGTTATTTATGACTCCTCTGTGCCCATCGGTGAGGTCACCTTTACAGTGCAGGGCTGAGCTTACCTGCTCTTCCTTCCCTTTATTTCACGTGTCATCTTCTATTCTGCCTTTCTTGCCCAGGTGCCACCCCGGAGTATCTGGCTGGACACTACATGCTGCAAGGAGCCTCCAGCCTTCTCCCTGTCATGGCTCTGGCTCCACAGGAGAACGAGCGCATCCTGGATATGTGCTGTGCCCCAGGAGGCAAGACCAGCTACATAGGTACTGCTCTGGAGCCTTGGGAGGGGTTCTTTGTCAAGTGAGGAGTTTCCWCTGGTCTGCACAGAAAGTGGGAATAGAGGGGGATTGAACTTGAGGAAAGAAGRGGGTGGCTATCACTGCAGACAAAACCGCAGGAAGTTTCCACATTCTTGCTGATRTGTTGTACTTTCTGGTAGCTCAACTTATGAAGAACACAGGGATGATCCTGGCCAATGACAGCAATGCCGAGAGGCTACGTAGCGTGGTAGGGAATTTGCACCGGCTGGGAGTCACCAATGCTGTTGTGAGTAACTGCGATGGACGCCAGTTTCCCAAGGTATGTTTGTGTTTACAGTGCTTACTTAGAGCTGCCCTGCTGTCCCTTCAGTGAAGCTGTGTTCTCCAAAGTCACCTGTCACTGGAGGATGAGCAGAGCTGCTGGGGAGTGTGTTTGTTATTTGATATAGAGCAGGAAGATGGACAGGGAGGTGGGAGGAATCTTTCCTGCCTTCCCAGCCTATTTYCCTCT